AATTCACACATAACAATACTATCCCTAAATGTCAATGGACTAAACGCCCCAATCAAAAGACACAGACTGGAAAATTGGATAAAAAGCCAAAACCCATCAGTGTGCTGTATCCAGGAAACCCATCTTACATGCAAGGATACACAAAGGCTCAAAATAAAGGGATGGAGGAAGATCTACCAAGCAAATGGAGAGCAAAAAAAGCAGGAGTTGCAATTCTCATCTCTGATAAAATAGACTTTAAAGCAACAAAGATCAAAAGAGACAAAGAAGGACATTACATAATGGTAAAAGGATCACTGCAACAAGAAGAGCTAACGATCCTAAATATATACGCACCCAATACAGGAGCACCCAGATACATAAGGCAAGTTCTTAATGACTTACAAAGAGACTTAGACTCCCACACAATAATAGTGGAAGACTTTAACACCCCATTGTCAATATTAGACAGATGAACCAGACAGAAAATCAACAAGGATATCCAGGACCTAAACTCAGACCTGGAACAAGCAAACCTAATAGACATTTACAGAACTCTCCACCCCAAATCCACAGAATATACATTCTTCTCAGTACCACATCACACCTACTCTAAAATTGACCACATAATTGGCAATAAATCACTCCTCAGCAAATGTAAAAGAACAGAAATCATAACAAACAGTCTCTCAGACCACAGTGCAATCGAGTTAGAACTCAGAATGCAGAAACTAACTCAGAACCGCACAGCTTCATGGAAACTGAACAACTTGCTCTTGAATGTTGACTGGATAAACAATGAAATGAAGGCAGAAATAAAGATGTTCTTCGAAACCAATGAGAACGAAGACACAACATACCACAATCTCTGGGGCACATTTAAAGCAGTCTCTAGAGGAAAATATATAGCAGTGAGTGCCCACATGAGAAGAAAGGAGAGATCTAAAATTGACACCCTATCATCAAAATTGAAAGAGCTAGAGGAGCAAGATCAAAAAAACTCAAAACCTAGCAGAAGACAGGAAATAACTAAGATCAGAGCAGAACTGAAGGAAATAGAGACACAAAAAACTCTTAAAAAATCAATAAATCCAGGAGCTGGTTTTTTGAAAAGATCAACAAAATAGACAGACCACTAGCCAGATTAATAAAAAAGAAAAGAGAGAATAACCAAATTGATGCAATAAAAACGATAAAGGGGATATCACCACAGATTCCACAGAAACCCAAACCATCATCAGAGATTATTACAAACAACTCTATGCACATAAACTAGTAAACCTGGAAGAAATGGATAAATTCCTGGACACCTGGATCCTTCCAAGCTTAAACCTGGAAGAAGCCGAAACCCTGAATAGACCAATAACATGGTCTGAAGTCGAGGCAGCAATAAAGAGCCTACCACCCAAAAAAAGCCCAGGTCCAGATGGGTTCACAGCCGAAGTCTACCAGACATACAAAGAGGAGCTGATATCATTCCTTCTGAAACTATTCCAGCCAATCCAAAAAGAGGGAATCCTTCCCAAATCATTTTTCGAGACAAACATCATCCTGATACCAAAACCCGGCAGAGACTCAACAAGAAAAGAAAATTTCAGGCCAATATCCATGATGAACATAGATGCAAAAATCTTCAATAAAATACTGGCAAACAGATTGCAACAGCATATCAAAAAGCTCATCCACCATGATCAAGTAGGATTCATCCCGGGGATGCAAGGCTGGTTCAACATACGCAAGTCCATAAACATAATTCACCACATAAACAGAACCAAAGACAAAAACCACATGATTATCTCAATTGATACAGAGAAGGCTTTTGACAAAATTCAACAACGCTTTATGCTAAAAACCCTCAATAAACTAGGTATTGACGGAACGTATCTCAAAACAATAAAAGCTATTTACGACAAACCAACAGCCAATATCATACTGAATGGGCAAAAACTGGAAGCATTCCCTTTGAAATCTGGCACTAGACAAGGATGCCCTCTCTCACCGCTCTTATTCAATATAGTACTGGAAGTTCTAGCCAGAGCAATAAGTCAAGAAAAAAAAATAAAGGGTATCCAAATTGGAAAGGAGGAAATCAAATTGTCTCTATTTGCAGATGACATGATTGTATATCTGGAAGACCCCATCATCTCAGCCCAAAGTCTCCTGAAACTGATAAACAACTTCAGCAAAGTCTCAGGATACAAAATCAACGTGCAAAAATCACAAGCATTCCTATACACCAGTAATAGGCTTCAAGAGAGCCAAATCAAGAACGAACTGCCATTCGCAATTGCTACAAAGAGAATAAAATACCTAGGAATACAACTAACAAGAAACGTAAAGGACCTCTTCAAGGAGAACTACAAGGCATTGCTCAACGAAATAAGAGAGGACACAAACAGATGGAGAAACAGTCCATGTTCATGGTTAGGAAGAATCAACATCGTGAAAATGACCATACTGCCCAAAGTAATTTATAGATTCAATGCTATTCCCATCAAGCTACCAATGACCTTCTTCACAGAACTGGAAAAAAACACCTTAAACTTCATATGGAACCAAAAGAGAGCCCACATAGCCAAGTCAATTCTAAGCAAAAAGAACAAAGCAGGAGGCATCACACTACCAGACTTCAAACTATACTACAAGGCTACGGTAATCAAAACAGCATGGTACTGGTACCAAAACAGAGATATAGACCAATGGAACAGAACAGAGGCCTCAGAGGAAATACAACATACCCACAACCATCTGATCTTCGACAAACCTGACAAAAACAAGCAATGGGGAAAGGATTCCCTGTTTAATAAATGGTGTTGGGAAAACTGGCTAGCCATGTGCAGAAAGCAGAAACAGGACCCCTTCCTGACACCTTACACCAAAATTAACTCCAGATGGATTAAAGACTTAAACATCAGACCTAACACCATAAAAACCCTAGAAGAAAATCTAGGCAAAACCATTCAGGACATAGGCGTAGGCAAGGACTTCATGACCAAAACGCCAAAAGCAAGGGCAACAAAAGCCAAAATAGACAAATGGGACCTAATCAAACTCCACAGCTTCTTCACGGCAAAAGAAACAGTCAGTAGAGTGAATCAGCAACCAACAGAATGGGAAAAAATTTTTGCAGCCTACCCATCTGACAAGGGGCTGATATCCAGAATTTACAAAGAACTAAAGCAGATCTACAAGAAAAAAACAAACAAGCCCATTCAAAAATGGGTGAAGGATATGAACAGATACTTTACAAAAGAAGACATACAGGAGGCCAACAAACATATGAAAAAATGCTCATCATCACTGGTCATCAGGGAAATGCAAATCAAAACCACATTGAGATACCATCTCACACCAGTTAAAATGGCGATCATTAAAAAATCTGGAAACAACAGATGCTGGAGAGGATGTGGAGAAATAGGAACACTTTTACACTGTTGGTGGGAATGTAAATTAATTCAACCATTGTGGAAGACAGTGTGGCAATTCCTCGAGGACCTAAAAATAGAAATCCCATTTGACCCAGCAATCCCATTACTGGGTATATATCCAAAGGATTATAAATTATTCTACTATAAGGACACGTGCACACGAATGTTCATTGCAGCACTGTTTACCATAGCAAAGACCTGGAATCAACCCAAATGCCCAACGATAATAGACTGGATAGGGAAAATGTGGTACATATACACCATGGAATATTACGCAGCCATCAAAAACGATGAGTTCACGTCCTTTGTAGGTACATGGATGAACCTGGAAACCATCATTCTCAGCAAACTGACACAAGAGCAGAAAATCAAACACCGTATATTCTCACTTATAGGCGGTTGTTGAACAATGAGAACACATGGACACAGGGAGGGGAGCACTACACACTGGGGTCCGTTGGGGGGAAATGGGGGAGGGACGGGGGTGGGGAGGTGGGAAGAGATAGCATGGGGAGAAATGACAGATACAGGTGAGGGGACGGAAGACAGCAAACCACACTGCCATGTGTGTACCTATGCAACAATCTTGCATGTTCTTCACCTGTACCCCAAAACCTAAAATGCAATAAATATATATATATATATATATATAGAAGGCCTGGCATGGTGGGTCATGCCTGTAATCCTAGCGTTCTAGGAGGCCAAAGCAGGAGGATTGCTTGAGCCCATGAGTTCCAGACCAGCCTGGGCAGCATAGAAAGACCTTGTCTCTCTTTAAGAAACAAATAAATAAATTGTTTTTAAAAAAGAAAATAAAGATACAGACTGCCTGAATGAATTTAAAAAATAAGACCCAGCTCTACACTGCCTGTAAGAAACTCACCTCATCTATAAAGACACACTTAGACTGAAAGGGAAGGGTTTGAAAAAGATATTCCAAGGAAACCAAAAGCAAGTGGGAGTAACTATACTTATATCAGACAAACAGATTTTAAGTCAAAAGCTGCAAAAATAGATAAAGAAGGAAATTATATAATAAAGGGATTTATTAAGCCAGGGAATATAACAATTGTAAGTATGTATGCATCTAACACTAGAGCACCCAGAGATATAATGCAAATACTATTGGATCTAAAGGGAGAGATAGACCACCAGTACAAGACAGCCAGGAACTTCAACACCCCACTCTCAGCACTGGACATTTAGACAGAAAATCAACCAAAAAATTGGATTTAAATTTCATCATATAACAAATGGACCTAATAGACTTTTACAGAATATTTCACACAAGAGCTGAAGAATACACTTTTTTTTTCATTCGCATATGGAACATTCTGCAGGATTGACCATATACTAGGACACAAAACAAGTCTTCACTTTTTAATTGAAATTGTATCGGCAGTTCTGGGACCGCATGGAGGGCGGTGCGTGCTTCCCCCGCGGTGGAACCCGCGGCTCTGGAACGCCGGCGTCCTCTGCCAGCACCCCTTCCTTGCCGGCCGGCACTTCCGCTGCAGAGTTTTGCCCACGCTTCGAGACTTAGGGAGCAGTGCCTTTCAGAATTTGCCCACTCGTCTGGTATAACTAGTTCTGATGGCTGGGAATAAAGGAAGAGGACGTGCTGCTTATACCTTTAATACTGAAGCTGTTGGATTTAGCAAAGGTGAAAAGTTACCTGATGTAGTGTTGAAACCACCCCCATTATTTCCTGATACAGATTATAAACCAGTGCCACTGAAAACAGGAGAAGGTGAAGAATATATGCTGGCTTTGAAACAGGAGTTGAGAGAAACAATGAAAAGAATGCCTTACTTTATTAAAACACCTGAAGAAAGACAAGATATCGAAAGGTATAGTAAAAGATATATGAAAGTGTACAAGGAAGAATGGATACCAGATTGGAGAAGACTTCCAAGAGAGATGATGCCAAGAAATAAATGTAAAAAAGCAGGCCCCAAACCCAAAAAGGCAAAAGACGCAGGCAAAGGCACTTCACTCACTAATACTGCAGATGTTTTGAAAAAAATTGAGGAGTTGGAAAAGAGAGGTGATGGTGAAAAATCAGATGAGGAAAATGAAGAGAAAGAAGGAAGCAAAGAGAAAAGTAAAGAAGGTGAGGATGATGAAGACGATGATGCTACAGAACAGGAGGAATATGATGAAGAAGACCAAGAAGAGGAAAATGACTACATTAATTCATACTTTGAAGATGGAGATGACTTTGGAGCAGACAGTGATGACAACATGGATGAAGCAACCTATTAGGCATGAAATTTTTCAAAAAATATTTTTATGCAGCTTCTGAACATTTGGACAGACTTGTTTTGTATTTTATTTCTGATAAGCTATAAGTATTTATGTTTTTGTTTTTTTTGTACAAATATTTGTTACCAAAATATTCAAAACCACTTTGAGTTTACATACTAGTTACCTTACCAATTAGTCCCTGACACTCTGACATTCCTTCTAAACACCTCTGCCATCTCTCTTATGTACTCTCGTGTATTTTTTCATATTTGAATATGAATGTGCCTGAAGAATTTATCCTCTCTTAATCTGTGTATAGGTACTTGAAATCATTCTTGCTTAACTGCTGATCTTTTATAAAACTATTGCTAGTCATAATGAATTTCTATAACCTGAAAATTGAGATAACAGCACATAGAGCACTTTAAAAACAAAGAAACTTGAAAATAATTTTAGTTTTTACTTTAACATAGTATGTTCTAGACTACTGCATTCTAACTACATAAACCTACCTGAGCTCTTACAAGTGCAGAATTGTGAGATAGAGGTTTTGTGATGGAAAACATACACACAGGGAAAAATACCAAACTGAGCAATATCAAGTTCACAGCTCACGTCTTAGCCAGTGCAAAGAAACTTTCACATGGGGTGAATATTATAAATACTTGAATATGGGACTCACTTGATACTGTATGATATATCAATTATTCATCCCACTGTAATAACTTGGACATCTTCAAATAGTTGGGCTTATGGAAAAACTTGACTAAGACATTTTATTTTATCCTTTATGTAAGTGTGAGATAAGTTCTGGTAATATAAATATCACAGTAGAATGCATGTATGTGAACTCTATGAAGTATGGTAACCTTTTATGTTTCAGAATACTCAAGTTGTACATTTGATTTATATGAATGCAAATGAACTCAGGTCATTTTGAAATTAAGATTAATTTTTTTGTTTAACTTTAAAGCTAGCTCCCCCAACTTTATATATTTGGCGGGGGGGATGCCTAAAAACCGTAGTCTACAAAGACTCTCACAAATGCCAAAGATTTTCAAGGAAATTCATATTATATATTTGAAAAATGATTTATCAATGTTATCTACCAAAAGAAATTATTTTTCTCCTTTGGGAAGACATCATTAACCTGAAATGTGAGAATCTGATCCCTAGATCCTATTTCTACCTGTACTATTAAACTCAACCTTGAAACTGACAAAAAAAAAAAAAAAGAAATTGTATCAAGTATCTTATCTGATCACAATGGAATAAAACTAGACATTAATAACAAAAGAAACATTTGAAACTATACAAATACATGGAAATTAAACAACATGCTCCTGAATGACCAATGGGTGAGAGGAGAAATTAAGAATAAAATTTTAAAATTCCTTGAAACAAATGGAAATAGAAACATAACATACCATATTAACACTTACGGGACACAGCAAAAGCAGTACTAACAGGCAAGTTTATAGTAATAAGTATCTCTATCAAAAAACTAAAAAGATTTCAAATAAACAACCTAATGATGTATCCACAAAACCAGAAAAGCAAGAACAAACTAAATCCAAAATTACTAAAATAATGAAACAATAAAAATTAGAGAAGAAATAAAATTGAGACTACAAAAATACAAAAGATCAATGAAACAAAAGGTTGGCTTTTTGAAAAGATAAACAAAACTGACAAGTCATTAGCTAGACTTTAAAAAAAAAAAGAGAAAGAAGACATAAATAAATAAAATCAGAAGTGAAAAAGGAGACATCACAATGGATACCACAGAAATTCAAAGGATCCTTAGAGACTACTAAGAGCAACTATGTGCCAATAAATTCCAAAACCTGGTGGAAATGAATAAATTCCTGGACACATACAACCTGCTAAGATTGAGTGACGAAGAAATAGGATACCTGAACGGACCAATAACAAGTAACAAGATTGAATCAGTCATAAAAACTTTCCCACCAAATAAAAGTTCAGGACCACATGGCTTCACCATCAAATTCTACTGCAAACTTTAGAGAAGAATTTTTTTTTAAAGTAAGAATAAGAAAAAAAAAAACTGAAGCAGAGAACATTCTTTCCAACTCATTCTATGAGGCCAAGATAACCTTGATACCAAGACCAAATGAGGACACACACACAAAAATAAAACTATCGTCCAGTATTCCTAATGAATATACACACAAAAATCTTCAACTAAATACTGGTAAAAGGAATCCAGCAACACATTAAAAAGATAATACATCATAATCAAGTAAGATTTATCTCAAGAATTCAAGAATGATTCAACGTATGCTAATCAATTTACACCATGCATCAGAACAGTAGAATAAAGGGCAAGATCATATAATCATCTCAATAGATGCAGAAAAAAAGCATTTGATAAAATTCAACATCCCTTCATAATAAAAACTCTTAATACGTTTGGTATAGAAGGAAAACACCTCAACATAATAAAGGCCATTTATGACAAATCCACAACCAACATCATACAGAATAGGGAAAGCCTGAAACCTTTTTTTTTTTTTAAGAACTAGAACAATACAAGGATGCCCGCTCTCACCACTCTTATTCAACATAGTATGGGAGGTCTAAGCCAGAGCAATTAGGCAAGAGAAACAAATAAAGAGCTTCTGAATTGGAAAAGAAGAAATTAGATTGTCCCTGTTTGCAGATAACATGATCTTATACACAGAAAAACTTAAAGACTCTACCAAAAAAAAACCCCTTAGAATCAATAACTGAATTCAATAAAGTTGCAGGATATAAAATTGATAAACAAAAATCAGTAGTGTCTCTATACATGAACAACAAACTAGCTGAAAAAGTTGTCAAGAAGGCAATCACATTTACAATAGCTATAAAATAATAAAATACCTAGGAAAAATGTAAGCAAGGAGGTAAAACATCTCTCTACAAGGAAAACTACAAAACACTGATCAAAGAAATTGAAGAGTATAGAAGCAAATAGAAAAACATCTCATGCTCATGGAACAGAAGAATCAATATCGTTAACATGACCATGCTACCCAAAGCAAGTGATATTGCAATCCCTATCAAGACACCAATGATAATTGGGTACAGTAGCTAACACCTGTAATCCCAGCTACTCAGGGTGCTGAGGATCACCTGAAGCCAAGAATTCAAGACCAGTCTGAGCAACATAGCAATACTTCACCTCTAAAAACAAAACAAAAAAAAACACACATTTTTTTTAAAGTAGGTCGGTATGCTTGTGTGCTAGCTACTCAAGAAGCTGAAGCAGGAGGATTGCTTGAGCTCAGGAGTCAAGGCTGCAGTGAGCTATGATTGTGCCACTGCAGTCCAGCCCAAGCAGCAGAACCAGACTCTGTCTCTTGAGGAATATCTGCCTACCAATAGGTGTCTATTTGATATTCCTGTATCAATTGATAGATGAGATACAGACATAGTCATAGATATAAATAGATAGGTAGAAGAACGTCAATGACATTCTTCACAGAATTTTTTTTAATGCTGAAATTTGTATGAAATGACAAAAGACCCCTAATAGCCAAAGCAATCCTAAGGAAAAAGAATAAAGCTGAACGTACCATCACACTACCAAACTTTAAAATACACTACAAAATTATAATAACCAAAACATCATGGTACAGGCATAAAATGGAACAGAATAGAGATCCCAGAAATTAATCCAGGTATCTACAGCCAAGTAATTTTTGACAAAGGTGCCAAGAACACTAATTGGAAAAAGGGCAGTTTCTTCAATAAATGGTATTGGGAAAAATGGGTATTTATATGCAGAAGAATGAAACTAGACCCTCACCTCTCACCCTATTCAAAAATGAACCCAAAGTAGTTCAAAGATCTAAATATAAGACATTAAAATTATGGAACTGCTATAAGAAAACATAGGGGAAATGCTTCAGGACATTATATCTGGGAAAAGATTTTATGAATAAGACCTCAAAAGCACAGGTAACAAAAGCAAAAATAAACAAATGGGACTGTATCAAACTAAAAACATTCTGCACAGCAAAAGAAATGATAAACAGAGTGAAAATACAACCTACAGAATGGAATTAAATATTTTCAAACTATCCAGCAGGGAATTAATATCCAAAATACACAAGGCACTCAAGCATTTCAATGACAACAAAAAAATTCCAAATAATCCCATTTAAAAATGGGCAAATGATCTGAACATACATTTCTCAAAAGAGGACATACCTATGACAATAAAATAGATGAAAAAATGTTCAACATCATTAATCATCAGGGAAATGCAAATTAAAACCCCAGTGAGGTATCATCTCATCACACTTAGGATGGCTATTATCCAAAAGACAAAAAATAGCAAATGCCTAGTGAGAATGCAGAGAAAAGGAAGCTCTTACACACTGTTGGTAGGAGTAAACTAGTATAAGCACTATGGAGAACAGTATGGAGGTTCCTCCAGAAAACTAAAAATGGAATTATCACATGATCCACTAATCCCATTACTTGGCATTTATCCAAAAAAAAAGAAAATTAGTATATTGAAAAGACAACTGCACCCCTACGTTTACTGCAGCACTATTCACAATAGCCAACATATGGAATCAACCTAGGTACGCAAGAACAGATGAATGGTTAAAGAAAATGTGGTATATTCACACAATGGAATGCTATTCAGCCATGAAAAAGACATGGATGCAACTGAAGAACATTATGTTCAGTAAAATAAGCCAGAAACAGAAAAGTAAACACCACATGTTCTGTCTCATACACGGAAGCTAAAAGAAGTTGATTTCATAAAAGTAAAATGTAGAAAAGAGAGTTCTAGAGAAGCAGTTTTCAACCTTTTTGGCACCAGGGACCAGTTTCATGGAAGACAATTTTTCCATGGATGGGGGTGGGAGATGGGGTTGGGGGACGGTTTCGGGATTAAACTGTTCTACCTCAGATCATCCGACATTCAATTCTCATAAGGAGAATGCAACCTAGATCCCTAGTATGTGCAGTTCACAGCAAGGTTTGTGGCTCCTTTGAGAATTTAATGCCTCTGCTGATCTGACAGGAGGCGGAGCTCAGAGAGCCATGCTCACTGACCTGCCGCTCACCT